TGAGAGGGGTTTTCAGAGGGGTAGCTCTGTAGTCCAGGGTGGCCTTGAACTTGCTATGTGGGTAAGGATGACCTTGAACTCCTGGTCCTTGTGTCTCTACTTCTCAATTACTAGGATTACAGGCACGGACCACCACACCAGACAAAGTATAATTCTTTGACATAGCATATTTATAGGCAATTTTTTTAAATCTATAATAAGTGGTAAAATTCTATACATATACCAAATAATGGATTTTAAATAAATTATTAATATTTTATTAGTAGTATTTGATTTGAATACCTGTTTTAGACACCAAAAGCCCAAGGCCATGTAAAAATATCCTGGGTGGGCCAGGTTTAATCCCAGCACACCTTTAATCCCAGCACCTGGGAGGCAGAGACAGGGGGATCTCTGAGTTCTAGGCCAGCCTGGTCTACATTATATGTGTGTGTGCATGTGTGAGGGCTAGTGTCCATGAAGCCCAGAGGAGAGTATCAGGTCCCCTGGAGCTGGGGTTTCAGGAGCTGCTGGAGTTGAAGTCGGGTCTCCTGGAAGAGCAGCAAACGCTCAACCACTGAGCCATCTCTCCAGCCACCCTGCACCCCGGTCCTTTAGTGGCCTTGTGTGAACAGTAAAGAAACTAGATGACTAGTGATAAATAGACACAGGTAAAGTCCCGTGACTGTTCATGCCGTCTCTTCAGCCCCTCTTCCCCTTTTTTAAAAACAACCTAAATTGACATAGGAGGGATGGTGGGCTCATAGCGTGGGCTACCTGCAGGAATGAAAGTATGTCACATACGGAGCACACACATCTGTGCAGTGGTCGCTGACACTGCAGAACACTGCTGCTTTACATGGCTGAAACTGTTTCCATTTGCCGGAGACAGCGACAATGGGAAACACCCGGCTAAGAATCAGATTCTTACTTTCAGTAGGGAAGTCAAGACCTGTAATTCAGGTAGCATGGAGGTGGCAAGATGGAGCTTGTCCCCTGTTGCATGAATAATAAAAACCCAGAGACAGATATCGGAGTTCAAGATGAAGATCAGAAAAGCAAAGCAGCCAGTCATTGGCTCTAACCTCTACCTCAGACCAAAAATGGGTGATTCTGCCTCCAGGAATCCTCAGATTCAGACTGAGACTGGGCTGAGATCTGTCTCCTCCTATTTTATATCCCTCTCTAGTGCTGGGATTAAAATCTTGCACCACCCCCACCTGGCCTCTATGGCTACCTAGTGTGGCTGCTGGGATTAAAGGTGTGTGCCACCACTGCCTGGCCTCTATGGCTGGCAAACATGGCTGCTTTGCTCTGATATTCAAGCAAGCTTTATTTATTAATAGAGTCTCTCCTGTTAGTATTGGGAACAGGAAGCTTGGTCCTGGAAAGGAACTCAGGGTCAGTGTACTGGTTGGTAGGTGTGGCTTTTGCAGATCTTCATCATCCCCAGAGATCTGGTGTTTCCTGAGTCAGCCCTTACTCAGTCCCACGAGGCAGATGTCTAAAGCTATAGGACAAGAGTCATGAGTAGTCAGTATAAAGATGTCTCAGAGTTCCGCCATGACTCAAAATATCTAAATCTGAGAGGCCTTGGGACCCAGACCTATCCTGTGTATCTCAGCCCCATTCCCAGGCCCCCAATGTGTCATGTTTTTAAACCTCCAGAGACAAGACAGAGCTCTAGGCACTGTCCCTGCCTGCAGAAGAAGAAATGACTTGGTGTAGTTGGAGGCCTCTTGTTTGTCCCTGGCTGCCCAGACTCCCAAAATAACCACACAAAAACTATATTAATTAAATCACTGCTTGGCTAATTACTTAAGCATACAGCTAGCTAGCTCTTACATCTAGAATTAACCCATCTCCATTATTTTATATTTTATCACAAGGCTCGTGGCCAACTAGTAAGGTTCTGGCGAGTCTGTCTCCCACAGAGGCTCCATGGCTTCCCTGACTCCACCTCCTTTCTTCCAGCATTCAGTTTTGTTTTCCCCACCTAGCTTAATTCTACCCTATCATGGGCTCAAGATAGTTTCTTTATTAAGCAATGGTAATCACAGCATACAGAGGGGAATTCTCATCAACAAGAAACATTCAGGAGACTGAGAGGCTGTGGCTGGAGGAGTAATTAGGGGCTCCCCACCAGCTCCAGCTCCACCCCAAGAGCCCCAGGGACAATCCTGCTCCCCCCACACTTACCTACAACATGATAATAGCCTCCTTTTCCACCTGTGAGAAGAAAAGCTGTGAGACCAGGGAAGTCTCTGACCCTAGGAAGTTTCCAGAACTGACAGGAGACCCAGGTTAGAAACAGCAGCAATGAGGGGTGTGGATGTGTTTCCCATTAATGAGGCAGAGCACACTTCTAAAAGGGGCTGAGAGAGAACTCAGACCCTGCCCTTTCCTACCTGTGTTTCTCCTCCTCTTCATCACAACAGCCACCACAGCTCCAATGATCACAGCTCCAAGGAGAACCAGACCAGCAATGACTGCTGCCATGATGGGGACCGTGGACTGAGGAGGCTCTGGGAAGGGAAGGGCGGGAAGGGAAGATGAGGGTCATGACCCAGTTCTCAGCCCTGACTCTGCTCAGGGTCTATAGAAGGCTCCAGCTTTCCCTGACCCCAGCTCTGCACCCTCTCCCTCCTTACCCCATCTCAGGGTGAGGGGCTCAGGCAGCCCCTCATGGTGCACATGGCATGTGTATTTGTGCTCCTCCCCAGAAGGAACCACCAGAGATGCCCACTTCTGGAAGGTTCCATCTCCAGAGGGTCTGGTCTCCACCAGCTCCATGTCCTGAGTCTGTTCCTCTTCCTCCCTCTGCCAGATCAGGGCGATGTCAGCAGGGTAGAAGCCCCGGGCCCAGCACCTCAGGGTGACATCATCTTTAGGTCCAGGATGATGGGCCACATGTGCCTTTGGGGGGTCTGAGGAAAAGAGTTGTGAAGATGAAACATCTTGCTTTCTTCTAGGGTCTCAANACATCTTGCTTTCTTCTGGGGACTCAACAGTGTCCATGTGACCAGTCTGGGAATGGACAGGGGAACTGGGGTGGGATTAGGGTGTCCTGATATTAGTAGACCCCAGCTAGAGCTCAGGCCCCGGGGTCATGTGCTCTTCGGGATGCTCTAAGATGTGAGTGACATCTGGGGTAGGAGGCTTCAGGGCTCTGCAGACTGATGGAGGGGAAGGGATTCTGGTCCTGAGCTGAGTGAGGGCCAGGAGACTCAGAAAAGCTGGAGTCAGACTCCAGAGACACTGAGTGTGGGACACAGAAGGAGGCCTGAGAGAAAAAGCTCCTGTGGTCCAGGGCCATCTTCAAGGCTGACCTGCTGTACAAGGGTTAGTCTCCCAATGGGAAAAGCAGCCTGGAGTCTCCATCTCCTTATTTCTCAGCCCGATGTCTGCTGGACAGTGTTCTTCCTCTGAGGATGCCCAGAGCCTTTCCCCCACACTACAGAGGAAAAGCGAGGATGGGTCTCCAGGTACCTGAGCGCAGCAGGGTCGCGTTCCCCAACTCCAGGTATCTATGGAGCCAGTGTATGCAGGGGCCCTGCAGGTATGCTCTCTGGTGGTCGGCCTCCTCTGCCTTCTCTGACTTGCGCTTAGAGATCTGAGAGGCCGCGTCATTTGCGGTCCAGGAGTGCAGGTCGTCGTTCAGGGAGATATAATCCCGGCCATCGTAGGCCTCCTGACAGTACCCACGGAGCAGGCGTCCATCTGGACCCATTTCACAGCCATACATCCACTGCAGAGTGTGAGGTTCTGGTGGGGACACAGTGGTTAGCGCCACCTTGCGGCCATCCTGCCCTCTGTCCACAACCCGACCTTTCAGAGACAAAAGTGCAACCGAAACCTGAGCCAAACTCTACGGGATTCTCTTCCTGTTAGATAAGGATTTGGGCAGGTGTTTGGACTCAGCGGGTGAAGATGACCCAAACCTGTTCAGGGGAGATGGAGGGGCCGTGTCTGTGATCGGGGCCGCAGTCACTCACCGTCGTCACTCTGATTGTAGTAGCCACGCAGGGTCTGGAGATTCAATTTGAAGTTCTTCCCTGTGTTTCTGGCTTTTCGTGTCTCCCCCTCCCAATACTCCGGCCCCTCCTGCTCCACCCACGGCGCCCGCGGCTCCATCCTCGGAGTCTCCGCGTCGCTGTCGTAGCGCACGAACTGCGTGTCGTCCACGTAGCCGACGGAGATGAACCGGGGCTCCCCGAGGCCGGGCCGGGACACGGCGGTGTAGAAATACCGCAGCGAGTGCGAGCCTGCGGGCGACAGGCGGTGAGACCCCGACCCTGCTCCCGGGACCAGGGTCCCAGATGAAGGCAGGGGAGACACGGGGTAGGGCAGTAAGATGCGTTTAAGGTGTACTGCCCCCACCAGGTTCCCCGCTCCGTCCCGCAGTCTCCCCATCCCTTACTCACTAGCCTGTGTCTGGACCAGAACTATGGCGCTAACCAACAGCTTGAGCCAGGAAGCAGAAGACATTGTCCTCTGCACAGGAGCCTGTGAAGGGTGTAGAAGCGATTTCTGTAAACTGCTCTACTTGGAACCTCTGTGTCACTGATTGGTTTCTCTAGAAACTCTGTGTCCAATGAGAACTGAGTTCATCATTTGTTCCGAAAGAGGAACTCGATCGGAATTGAAAGTGGAACTGTGTATATTATTTATTTATTATATTATTTATTAAAGATTTATTTATTATGTATACAATATTCTGCCTCCATGCATGCCTGCAGGCCAGAAGAGGGCACCAGATATTATTACAGATGGTTGTGAGTCACCATGTGGCCGCTAGGAATTGAACTCAGGACCTCTGGAAAAGCAGCAAGTGCTCTTAACCACTGAGACATATCTCCAGCCCTTCTGGCGTCTTTAACAAAGAAAATGCTGTCAAAAGCCACTGCATACCTAGGACTTTAACCTGACCTCTGTCCTCTTCACTCTGGGGCAACTGTGAATGTCCTGGATAGTGTGGGCCCCTGGCCCCGTACCCAGCCAGGCCAACCCGATACCGCCCACCCGCAGGAACAGTTCCCAAGCCTAAAGCAAAACTCTGACACCCACAGCCTCCTGCTGAATCTCAAACTGGGATCAAGGGAGATTCGGGACTTTCCTGGGGCCATGAGGGGTCGTGACCCCCGACCCGGAAATCACTCACCGCCCTGACTGGTTGTAGAGGTGGAGCAGGTTCTGTAGGCAGGTTCTGAAATTCTGTCTGTGCTCCTGTGGGTCCCCAGTGCTCCAGCTCCTTCAGCTCGCTTTACCCTCCATACTCCGGGTTCACACCGGATGAACGGTCTGTTGTCCCCGTAGTCCACCGCATTGAACGGGGCTGGAGGGGGCAGGATGGTGGGCCACAGCTGCGGCAAAAGAGGGAAGCAGAGCCTCGGAGTAGCGCGCAGTGAGATCCGGACCATCCTCTTAGGGCAAACCTGGAACCAAGAGAGAACAAGATTGAAATCACCAGCAGTTTATACTTCCCAAACCAAACCACACCTTTATGCTCTTAGAACCTGAAAGCCACTTCTGAGGGGTTGGGACTTTGTCATGACTCCATAAAGCGCTCTCTCTCTCTCTCTCTC